GCGTCCGTGGACAGGGCCACGAGCAGTACTTCCTGCTGGTCGTCGACGACTATACGCGTTACACCACGGTCTTCCCCTTGCGCACCAAGGGTGAGGACCCTGATGTTTTGATCCCTTGGATCCGCGGTGCTCGTCTCCAGCTCCGCGAGCGGTTCGTGACGGAGTTTCCTGTCCTGCGTCTGCACTCTAACAGAGGTGGGGAGTTTTCCTTCGACCTCTTGGCAGCCTTCTGTGCGGAGCACGGCATCCATCAGACGTTCACGCTTCCGGCATCTCTGCAGCAGAATGGGGTTGCTGAGCGCCGCATTGGCTTAGTCATGGAGGTCGCTCGTACCTCCATGATTCATGCGGCTGCCCCCCATTTTCTGTGGCCGTTTGTGGTCCAGTATGCCGCGCATCAGCTCAACCTCTGGCCCCGTGTCTCCTCGCCCACACTGCTGTGGATGGGGAAGGTTGGCGATGCGTCGCGTTTCCGGGTCTGGGGTGCTCGTGCCTTTGTCCGCGATACCACCGCGGACAAGCTCTCCGCCCGCGCAGTTCCCTATGTCTTTCTTGGCTTTGTCCCTGGCGCGCCCGGTTGGCAGTTTTACCACCCCACCTCGCGCCGTGTCTTCCCCTCTCAGGACGTCACGTTCGACAAGTCGGTTCCCTTTTACCGTCTCTTCCCCTACCGCACTGCCCCTCTCCCCCCCCCCCGCCACTCTTCCTCGCTCCAGGTGCTCCCTAGGTAGACCCCCTTCCCCGCTCCCGGTCGTGCTCCTTCAGGTGTGTCTCAGGTAGACCCTCCTCCCTCGACTGCGCCGGTTGAGGTCACTGGTGACTCAGGTCCTGCTCGGGGTGCTGCTTCTAGGGGTGCTGAGCCTGGGGGTGCTGAGCCTGGGTGTGCGGAGCCTTGGGGTGCGGAGCCTGGGGGTGCGGAGACTGGAGGTGCAGAGCCTGGTCGTGAGGAGTCTGGGGGTGCTGAGCCTGGGGGTACTGAGTCTGGGGGTGCTGCACCTGGGGATGCTGAGGCGTCTGGTGAGCAGTCACCTTGGGGCGGCCGTCTCCGTAGTCGCTCCGCTGGTACCTCGCCGCTGCACTCTCGTCGTTGACTCCCTCTCTCCACACAGCAGCTGCGTGAGTGGTATGCTGACCGTCAGGGTCGCGCTGCTGGAGCTAGGGGCCCTACTGCGGGAGGCGCTGGAGCTGGTGACTCTGCTATTGGAGTTGTTTCTTCTGGAGGTTCTGGAGCTGCTGCGGGTGCTGGAGCTGGAGGTTTTGGGGCTACTGAGGGTGCTGGAGCTGGAGGTTCTGGAGCTGCTGCGGGTGCTGGCGCTAGAGGTTCTGGAGCTGCTGCGGGTGCTGGCGCTGAGGGTTCTGAGTCTGCTATTGCGCGGTCTCCTTGGAGTAGCCGCCTTCGTCCGCGTGTGCCTCTCACCTCACAGCAGCTGCACGACTGGTACAGTCGCCGTCAGGGTCACGCTTCTAGAGCTCGGGGCTCTGCCTCTAGAGGTACTTCTGCTGGCGTCACTGGAGCTGGGAGTGGTGCTGGTCCTGGAGGTGCTCGTACTGGAGGTACTGGAGCTGCTGGGGCTGGAGGTGCTGAGCCTGAGGGTGCTGCTGCTAGAGGTACTGAGTCTGGGGGTGCTGCTGTTGGAGACACTTAGGCTGGAGTCCCTGGGACTGGAGGTGCCGGTGCTGGGGGTGCTGCTGCTGGTGGAGCTGGTCCTGGAGGAGTTGGCGCTGAGGGTTCTGGAGCTGCTGGAGGTGCTGGAGCTGCTAGGGGTACTAGAGCTGCTGGTGCTGGTGGCACTACACAGCCGCGCCTGTTCCTTGCTCCTCCGTCTCCGTCGTCTCAGCCACCGCCTGACTCTATGCTTCGCCAGGTTCTTAGTCTCCCTTCGTCTACTGGTCTTCCGTTACAGCCTGGCTCACCACTGCCTGCTCCTTCTCCTTACACTAAGCTGACAGGGGGTCTTACTGAGCGTCGTGAGCTAGCGTCGCGTCCTGTCTCGCCTGTCCGTCCTGGTCGTCGTGTTCCTCGATCGCGTCTGCCGGCTGTCTCCGGCACCCACCTCGTCGTCCGTCGTCCTTCCTCTCCTCCGCAGCGTGTTCCCCTGCCGTCCCCTCCTGCGTCTTCTCTGCCTACCGTTCCTGAGCCTGAGTCTGACCGCACCCGTGTTGCTCACTCTACTGTCACGTGTTTGCTAGCCACAGTTGTCACTGACCCATCGTTTGAGTCTGCTGCTGCGTCTGCCTTCGTCGCTGAGCTTGTTGACTTTGCTGCTCCCTGTCGTCTAGACTACGCCGCTAGTCTTGTTGCTGAGTCTGAGTCTATCTGTCCTCCGTCCGTTGGGGGTGAGTGTGCTCTTGGCACGGTCGTCCTTGAGGACAGGCAGGAGGACCTCGAGTGTCTTGCAGCTGCTACGCCTCATCTCGTGTCCATGCTGCTTGCCCCTGAGGGAGACCCGGATGCTCCAGACATCCCGACCCCGCGCTCTTACGCTAAAGCGATTGCGGGTGAGTACTCCTCTCAGTGGTAGACAGCCATGGACGCAGAGATGGCATCTTGGAAGTCCACAGGCACTTACGTCGACGAGGTTCCCCCTCCTGGGGCGAACATCGTCAGTGGCATGTGGATTTTCAGGGTGAAGCGGCCGCCAGGTTCTCCGCCTGTCTTCAAGGCTCGTTACGTTGCACGAGGTTTCAGTCAGCGAGAGGGAGTAGACTTCTTCCAAACCTTCTCCCCCACCCCGAAGATGACCACTCTTTGGGTACTGCTGCACATTGCCGCTCAGCGTGACTACGAGCTTCACTCTCTTGACTTCAGCACAGCTTTCTTGCAGGGCAGTCTGCACGACGAGATCTGGCTGCGCCGCCCTCCTGGCTTCACTGGGTCCTTCCCTCCTGGTACCCAGTGGAGCCTCCGGCGACCGGTCTACGGTCTCCGCCAGGCACCACGTGAGTGGCACGACACACTGAGGACTACACTTGCGGCTCTTGGGTTTGCTCCGTCGACTGCTGACCCGTCGCTGTTTCTGCGCACCGACACTTCTTTGCCGCCGTTTTACATCCTTGTGTACGGCGACGACTTGGTCTTTGCCACTGCTGACACTCAGGCTCTAGCTCCGGTGAAGTCGGAGCTGCAGAAGAGACACACGTGCACAGACCTAGGTGAGCTGCGCAGTAACTTTGGCTTGCAGATCACCCGGGACAAAGCACGCCGCACCATCACACTAACTCAGTCACACATGGTGCAGCAGGTCCTTCAGCGCTTCGGCTTCACATGGTCCTCGACATAGACCACTCCTCTGGCTACAGGTCACTCGCTCTCAGCTCCACCTTCGGACGAGTCCGTAGAGCCGAGTGGTCCTTACCCAGAGCTAGTGGGCTGTCTCATGTACCTGATGACCTGCACTCGTCCAAACCTTGCGTACCCTCTTGGCCTTCTGGCTCGCTACGTGGCTCCTGGTCGGCACCGAAAGGTGCACATGGATGCTGCTAAGAGGGTACTACGCTACTTGTGCAGTACATCGGGCATGGGGCTCGTGCTTGGAGGACGGAGCGATGTTGTCCTCACTGGGCACTCAGATGCTTCTTGGGTTGACGACCAGGCTATGCAGCTGTCGTCACAGGGTTACACCTTCAGCCTTGGCTCTGGTTCAGTTTCTTGGCGTTCTACATGCTCGTCTTCTGTTCTAAGCTCCAGTTGTGAGGCTGAGATCTACGCCACAGCCATGGCTGCACAGGAGTTACGCTGGCTCACCTACCTGCTGACCGACCTGGGAGAGGGGCCTCGTTCTCCTCCAGTTCTCTACGTAGACAACAAGGCCACCATTGCCTTGTGTAAGGAGCACAGACTGGAGCACGGAACGAAGCACATCGCTCTGCGTTACTTCCTGGCTCGAGAGTTGCAGTAGCGGGGTCAGCTTCGCCTTGCTCACGTGGCCACTCGGGCCAATACTGCTGATATATTCACCAAGGCACTTCCGTCTGGTGACCATCAGCACTTTTGTACTTTGTTGAGCCTTGTGCCTACGTTTCCACACTTGCTGTAGTCTCTGCTTGTATTGTGATCTATATATATATACCTGCATGCTTGTTCTTGCTAGGTAGAGATCACTGTGCTGATCTTGTTGCTTATATACCTCTGCATGTGGACTGGCCTTTTGGCCGTTTGCTTGTGCTCAGTGTGTGTGGTGACGTTGTGATCCACCCTGAGCTATGTTTTGTTTCTTCTCTTGACTGGTCTTGTGACCATTGCTTGCTCTGGCTATCCCCAATTTCGCCTATGGGGGTGTGTCAAAACATATGCATATTAGTATCTAGGCTATATTGGGGCTATCCTTAGGAGGTACAGAAACATTATCGACACTCTAGTCTTGCACCCCAAACTTGATCTAATCACACACAACTTCATGCCTAAGATTCTAAGATGGTATCTACAGTCTAAGCCATCGTCTCTGACCGCAACCCCGCGAACCTCCCCTGGGCGTAAGCCATTTTTTTCTAATTCCGAGTCCTCCATTTTGTCAGAATATTATCTTATGTTCTAGCCTGTAGTGGGGTGCTCTATAGCGAGTACAACCCTTCTAGGGTTTGCTATTTGTATCCCCATTTCTGCTAGTTCAACCCTCTTTCTTTCTTCAAACTTTGTCACATTTTCCCCTTGTTTTCAAGCCCGGAAGCTAATTATGCCTTTGTCATTTCTTCAGGGAACTCGGCGTTGACCTCGTCATCGAGGGTACCGGTGTTTTCATTGACAACGAGGGTGCTGGTAAGCACATCAAGGCTGGGGCCAAGAAGGTGCTTATCACTACTCCTGGAAAGGGAGACATCCCTAACTACGTGGTGGGAGTGAACGCTGACCAGTACAAGCACAGCGAGGTTATCATCTCCAACACTTCCTGCACCACCAACTGCCTTGCTCCTTTCGTCAAGGTCCTTGAGGAGAAATTTGGTAAGCGCGAGTGAATTTTTGTTTATTATTGGATAGCTGTTGCACGAATTGAGTTGACTGGATGATCTGTACCCTTGCAGGCATCGTTAAGGGCACCATGACCACCACCCAGTCCTACACTGGTGACCAGCGCCTTCTGGATGCCTCTCACAGGGATCTGCGTCGTGCTCGCGCTGCTGCGCTCAACATTGTGCCCACCTCTACTGGTGTTGCGAAGGCTGTCGCTCTTGTCCTCCCCAAGGTTTGTCTTCGTGCATCGTTTGTCAAGTCTGTCAAGTGGTTCTTGGTTTGTGTTCTAATGTATTACTCGACCCTTGACAGTTGAAGGGCAAGCTGAACGGGATTGCGCTTCGTGTGCCTACCCCGTGTCAACTTATATTTGTAACTGCCTGTAGCTGTATTTAGTGTAGTTATTTAAACTTTTTGTGGTGGTGCACCTTATGTGTTTCCTTTGCTATATGTACTTCGAACCCTATAGTGAAGCACACTTTTCTCCCAACTTCTCTTCAACTCACTCGATACTCACCCTAGGTGAAATCCCGCTCGACACCTAAGTTCGGGCCTAGGCTCCTAAGCCTAGGCCCTAGTCTTCAATTTAACTCACACTCCCTTTAATCTTTCGACATGTTATCTGAGCGAATTACGTCCTGGCCTGTGGGCCCGCCCTACACTTCCGCTGCTAAGATTTTCCGGTCGCGCGCCTAGGGCGCGTGACGATTTTTCCTTGTCCCGCCCCCGGTTGGCGTGTGACGCCTTTTCTCCCCGTCGCGTGCCCTGTGGCACGCGACGGTGCCCTTAACCTGCCCATCGTGCGCCCCGTGGCACACGATGGTGCCCTGCTCGTCGTGCGCCCCGAGGCACACGATCGGGCCCTTTCTCTTATCCTACCCGTCGTGCGCCCCGTGGCACTGGCACGCGACGGGCCTTTCCGCCCCTGCTCTCCCTGAAGCCGCCCCTGATCCATCTGCGCCGACACCGTTTAGCCGCGCTGCGGCTTTCTTCCCGCCCACCCCCTTCCTCCTTTGTCTCCCTGCAGCCGTGGGGAGGAGGGTATGGGGGTGGCGGGTGTTGGAGTGTTGGGTCAACTCTCTCCCTTCCCCTCCTCCTTCTTTCAGTCCCACCGCTGCAGCTGCCGCTGGGGGGGGAGGGTGTGAGGATGTGGGGGAGCAGGGGGAGTGGTACCGGGGTGGCGGGTGTGAGGCAACATGCAGCCGTCCCTCCACCTCTCCTCTCTTCCCCCCTTCTCTGCTGCTCCTGCAGCAGTGTGGGGGAGGGGAAGGAGGAGGGTGAGGCGATGGAGGGGGTAACTATTCAATGTTAGCCCGCCTGCATTACCTGCTGTTGCTTGCTTTTTATTATTTTGCATGTGTACACCTGCAGGTTGCATTCTGCACATACTCCTGCTGCAGGCAGTTATGGGGGAGTGTCAACTTATATTTGTAACTGCCTGTAGCTGTAGTTAGTGTAGTTATTTAAACTTTGTGTGGTGGTGCACCTTATGTGTTTCCTTTGCTATATGTACTTCGAACCCTATAGTGAAGCACACTTTTCTCCCAACTTCTCTTCAACTCACTCGATACTCACCCTAGGTGAAATCGCGCTCGACACCTTAGTTCGGGCCTAGGCTCCTAAGCCTAGGCCCTAGTCTTCAATTTAACTCACACTCTCTTTAATCTTTCGACACCCCGAACGTCTCCATTGTCGACCTTGTCATTCAAACCGAGAAGAAGACTTTTGCGGAAGAGGTGAACGCTGCTTTCCGCGAGGCTGCCAACGGTCCCCTGAAGGGCGTCTTGGCTGTCTGCGATGAGCCGCTTGTGTCGGTCGACTTCAGATGCAGTGATGTGCCCTCCACCATCGACTCCTCCCTGACCATGGTCATGGGTGACGATATGGTGAAGGTTGTCGCATGGTACGGTAACGAGTGGGGCTACTCCCAGCGTGTGGTGGATCTTGCCAACCTTGTTGCCGAGAAATGGGAGTAGAATAGAATCTTATGGAAATTTTGATGTCATTCTTGAACTTTAAGTTTTGTTTTAAGCATTCAAAAGCATTACTCGTAAATGATTCCCACAATGGTGCATGTTAGAACAGTCCCTGTCAGAGACAAGTGGGGAGAAAATATGGTGACTGTAGGCATCCTGGTCCTAAATGTTAGTGGGCAACTACCCATAGGCTGACTATTGTTGAGAAATTCCGTAGAAAGCTTGTGGCCAAATTGCAGATCATGAGGGCCAGCTTATGTGGGACAGTCAGATGGCGTTCATAGGAAGTTCCCCCAAACCCAAAGCGAACCGCGCTCAACAACAGTGCACAGATATTTGTGAAGCACGTGTTTGGGGTTGCTTCACGAAAGTCTGTCATGAACGATATTGAAGTCTACGGGGTTACATGCCCCTGATTGGGTTCGATAATTCGCTCAAACTTGTCTAGGTGTGTATCCACGTTCGCATGGCACGTGGAGTGGGTGTGGTCAGTTGCAAAACTGCCACGCTGGACCCACTTTTGGGCCTCTTGGGGCTACTTTGCTTGGGGGAACTTACTGTGAACGCCATCTCACGCCGCCAATCAGAATTGGTGAACACTTCTTGTTCCCGGTTCACTACGTACTCCTCTGGAGGTGGAAAAATACTCGCACACAGGCATTTCAAATTCCTAAATATTTAGAAGTCTATGTTGGACCCATATAGAAAGGGGGGGTCACTATTTTAGCTAAAGGGTGGCCATATGCGCATTCATACATAGCCTTGGAATCTTCGCTACTTGAATCTTGCCGCTGAAAAAGTCTTTTACCTACACTTAATTTTGGGCAGTTACGACTGCCAATGTATTGTGCACATATACGTGTATCATTCATCACATACACAAAAAAGAAACACTTGATTTTGGTGCTCAATTTTCGTCCTCGTTTTGCATAATTTAGGGGGATTGTCACTTTCAAGAATGGAGAGAATTTCTCCAGACCCGGAAACGGTGATTTGCCGTTGCACACGTGGCGTCGAATTGCTACCGTGGTCGGACAATTCGATGATAATTGCTCGAGTGGTCTTGCCAGAGGTTTCCTCTGGCTTTTTTTTTATCCGGCACATTACCCAAAACCGGTTTTTAGCCCTGCTTTTCTTACGTCGTTCGTGTCTCTTCCCGCAAAAAACGTGGCGTGTGGATTTCCGCCCGAAATTTTCGGCTGAGTGACGTGCGCGAGGGCGGCCACGTCACCGCTTGAATACACGACAATAATCAACACAATCATCTTGGGCGAACAGTCGCGTTCATTTTCGGTCCAATTCTTGACCAATCCGCGCATAGAGATATGAATCCCCGATCATATACTCAGTTGCACGACTGTCCACACGCGCGACCAATTACAGAGCGCGTGTGATTGGTCAATTTTATGCGCGGGGCCTTTTCTGACCTTGCGCGTCCAATCAGGCGCGCTCATATAGGGTCACGCCCATATGAGATCGCGCTACTGGAAATGGATTATTTGTTTAAACTGACGAATCCTACAAAAGGTACACACGGCGAAACAAAACCTCTGGCCAATTAGAGTCAAATTGAAACGCTACGTCAATATCCCGCGCATTTTTTTAAAAAGTGATGCAACACACCTCACACACCCTATTTTCTCGTCGTTTTAGGGTTGACATCCTACTTTGTTCCCGTAACTCTTCTACGAGGTAATTCAGTTGGAACATTTCTACTAGCCGCAATGGGTTCGTCATCTAATACTACTAACACAGAGTACGACTCAGGCGACGAAGATACGGAGTTTTGTTTTGTTGGCACTGGAGAGCCCAAGCAGAGTGATATGTATCGTGCATTGCTCCGAAACATGACGGATGAAGATAATCATTCGCCACCATTAGTGATAAACGATCGAGCCCCGTTGTGTGAAGGTCAACTGTACTCCTCGAAGAAATTTCTGTACGAGGCGTTGGAAGATTATTCCGTAGCCCACAACTTCGGTTTTAGGGTTTCAGAGAGTAGGCCAAATAGAGCCCGCACTATATGCATGAGTCACCATGAGCGACGTAAACCAGCTTGCAAGTGGCGGTGTGAGTACTCAACTGACGGAGCGGGTGGGTTTTGGCGTGTTGATAAACTGTCCGCCCCAACATCTCATTCTTGCTCACCCGTTGATCGGGACCGCTACGTGAACCAGACTACAAATAAAGTAGCTTATCTACAGCGTCATCATGGGAACCTTGTCCACGCCGCTCCACATCACCCTCCCGGGACTTACAAGGATCAGATTGCGTCGACCGGCGGTCCTGACATCAATTATCATCAATCTTGGAGGTAAGTATTATAGCATTCTATTGTGGTTCCCAACCTTCCATCTCATCCGTGTACCATAAAGAAATGTTCATGATTACCCACACAATGTCTCTCATGTTCGTGCTACATGCCTATACTGTCTTGCACATTATCACCAATCATCGCAGGCTCAAGGAAAAGATGTTGAAGGAGCGGTTTGGAGATTGGAAAACATCGTTTCGTTACATCCCTCGCCTGTTGGAACGCTTCAGGGCGATTGACCTTGAATCAACGCTCGACCTTGTGACGAAGGATCACGCTTTCTTCCGTGCTTTTGCCGCCCCATCGGCATCGAAAACTGCCCTAAGGTTCTGCCGACCGGTCATTGGTATGGATGGCTCGTTTCTCATTCGGGCACAGCGTGCTACGCTCTTGGTTGCAGCTGCTAAGGATGGCAATAACCAGCTTGTTCCACTCGCGTACGGCCTATGCGAGAGTGAGAATAAGGACAGTTGGAAGTGGTTTTGTGAGAACTTGTTGAAGCATATTCCATCTTGGCCAACCACACAGAATGCCTCCCTTATTAGTGACCGTGACAAGGGGTTGATTCCTGCTGTTAAGGAAGTGTTCCCATTAGAGCTTCCCCACTACTTTTGCAGCTGGCATTTGGAGCAAAATGTGCTAAAGTTTGGGCCCAACGCCTCGGAGGTGAGTTGCCTAGAATAACGCTCGTCAACCATGCTAGAAGATCCCGTTGTCAAATGATTCTACATGCCACCCCTTGTCAAATGATGATCGTGTACTCTATTGTTCTCATTTACGCTGCATGTGGCATTGGTGTTTTGCAGGCGTGGCAAATGCCTCTGCAGCAGAATGAATATGACTGTGGCATCTTCGTATGCCAGTACATTCAAGCGCTAGTGGAGGCATGCTTCGAAGGTGCTGAGCATGGGGTGCGGTTCAGCATGAGCCCACTGGCATAACGGCGTGTCATACGGGAGGATGTGTGCGCCCTGGCAGAAGGACGGCTGATCGGCGAGCTCACGGCAGCTGGGCATGAGATCCCTCCTGGCAATGAGATTAGGAAACCACCTGAGCTTGAGGTGATTGGTGATGAGGTGGAGGATAGGGAGTGGAGAGCGGAGATGGCAGAGCGGATGCATAGGCTGGAGGTTCGCAATGAGAGTCAGGCAGTGGCTATTGCCAAGCTCGAGAGGCAACTGCGTGAGCTGATGCTGTCCCGTACTCCATAGCCGGGCATTGGCGGTGTCGATACAGGGGAGGGACATGGTGATGTGGGAGGGGACGCTGCAGGAGAGGGACATGTTCATGTGGGACAGGTAACTACAGGGGAGGGACATGGGGATGCGGGAGGGGATGCTGTAGGGGAGGGACATGGGGATGTGGGAGGGAACAACGCTGGCACACATGACAGCATGAGATGTGCACATGGCGAGGGTCCTGTGGCTGACGTTGAGACGGGTGTAGGTGGGAATAACAGTAAGCTTGAAAAAGATGGAGATGGTGATATGGCGGACGGTGCGAGGAGGGACAATGACGAAGTGGGGGTGCGTGATGAAGGTGCCAAAGGCTTGTTGGGTACTACGGATGGTAACAGAGATGCAAGAGAGGCCGTGGGTGCTGGGCATGGTGTGACAGCCTCGAACGCGGATGTGGATTTGGTGTCCGCCCACAACACAGGGACTGAGACAACGAGTCGCAACACTGCGCGTGGTCGAGCTCCTAGCTCTGGTTATACTGGCGTAACCAAACGGGAAGGTAGGTGGGCGGCACGACTGTGCGTAGATAGCGCAAAGAGTAAGTTTTTAGTGCTTGGACGGTATACGGAGATCTTGGATGCCGCAAAAGCATATGCCGCAGCCGCCCACATTTGCCGACCGTCCCTCTCCAGCTCAACGATGGTGGAGTTGAGCGTGGAGGAGAGGCGGTGCTTGGAGGGACTGCCGACGCATGGGGTTGCAAGGATAGTGGAGGCCAAGCGGTGGGCAGAGTGGAGGAACTGGCGAGAAGTGCTCGGCAGCCTCCCTGAGCCTTCTATCCCAACGCCAGCAGGAGTACACAGACAGGCTCCACCTCCCTTTTCCCACCAGCACCCTGGAGCCACGTTTGGCAACTACCACCCGCCAGCCGCCGCCTTTGCGGGACACGCCGGTGCAACCCTAAACCCTGGTGCATGGCAGCCGTACAATCAGAGCCACCCTCCTCCCAACCTCCATTTTCCATCTCAGCAGTTTGCTTTCAACCAAATCCCAAACCATCCATTCAGCCAGGTGCAAGCCCCTATCGCCGTACACCCAACCCCTTCAGTACCCATTGTTCGCAACCCTGCAGGCCATGCCGCTTCACAGAACACAGCACCCCATCCGCATGTCCTACCAACACCACCATCCGTTGCACCCAGCACGACACATCCAGTATCTGACCCACAAGCCCAACAAGTCCGGCCCGCTGAGCAAACTGGACAGGTCAGGGTAGATGGCCTGACATATTCACAGTCGACTTCTCCCAACAATCCCAACCCAACGTCCCACGGCTCCGCACTGGCAAGCGAGCCAGCAACAGGTGAGATGTGTGGTTGTGTCATATTAGTGCTTATTCATATGCTGTAGTCTCACTAAACCATGCATTAATCTAATGAACTTGTTTGATGAACCTGTGCAGGGGCGGCGGACGACATCATCGATGCCTTTCTGCACAATAACTGATGAGGCGTATGGTCAACAATGACATTGCGTGCTCAGTACACATCAAATCTACGTAATAACATTGTAGGCATGCGTAGAGGTCGACATGCCTAGAGATACAATAAACCCTATGACTACTAAATGAACGGAACGCACAGTGTTATATAGATACAATGGCAAAACGCCAGTAGTGAACGTCTCTCGATGTTATTAATATAGTTTTATATTAATAAAACAGATCGCACACACACTCGAGCACCACATATGCGCGCTCATATATGTAAATGCGTGGTTTTATATGAGCGCGATCTTACATGACCGCGCCTGATTGGACGCGAAAGGTAAAAAAGTACTTCGTGCATAAAATTGACCAATCACACGCGCTCTGTAATTGGTCGCGCGTGTGGACAGTCGTGCAACTGAGTATATGATCGGGGATTCATATCTCTATGCGCGGATTGGTCAAGAATTGGACCGGAAATGAACGCGACTGTTCGCCCAAGATGATTGTGTTGATTATTGTCGTGTATTCGAGCGGTGACGTGGCCGCCCTCGCGCACGTCACCTAGCCGAAAATTTTGGGCGGAAATCCACACGCC